CTGATAGGAAACGGTACGTTGTGGCTGCATCTGCTGATCACTGGAATTTAAAACTCTTACACAGTTGTCCACGCTCCTCTCCTGTACAGAAATCCCTTACTCTGAACTTAATGTACACTGTGAACCTCTCACAGTGTGTATGAGAAGTCAGAGCACATCTCATTTCTTGGCTGGAAAACATCCAGCATCATCTAGTTCTTTCCTCCCACCCGATTGTCCCTGGCCCACCCCTTTCTTCATTGGATTTCAGTTTCTTCTGAGCAGGGCAGTCTATGTGCAAATAAATACAGCCTGCCTGGAAGCACCCACTCCTTCAGTCTGACATCGACGCATCAAGGCATTTTGACAATTACCGTATTTCGCGCTCCATAAGACGCACCTGACCATAAGGTGTGCCTAGGTTTTACAGGTGAAAAACAAGAAAAAAAATATTCTGAACCAATGGACTGCAGACACCGTACAGGAGATGACCAGAGACTGCGGACACAGTACAGGAGATGACCGGAGACTGCGGACACAGTACAGGAGATGACCGGAGACTGCGGACACAGTACATGAGATGACCGGAGACTGCGGACACAGTACATGAGATGACCGGAGACTGCGGACACAGTACATGAGATGACCGGAGACTGCGGACACAGTACATGAGATGACCGGAGACTGCGGACACAGTACATGAGATGACCGGAGACTGCGGACACAGTACATGAGATGACCGGAGACTGCGGACACAGTACATGAGATGACCGGAGACTGCGGACACAGTACATGAGATGACCGGAGACTGCGGACACAGGACAGGGGATGACCGGAGACTGCGGACACAGGACAGGGGATGACCGGAGACTGCGGACACAGTACAGGAGATGACCGGAGACTGCGGACACAGTACAGGAGATGACCGGAGACTGCGGACACAGTACAGGAGATGACCGGAGACTGCGGACACAGTACATGAGATGACCGGAGACTGCGGACACAGTACATGAGATGACCGGAGACTGCGGACACAGTACATGAGATGACCGGAGACTGCGGACACAGTACATGAGATGACCGGAGACTGCGGACACAGTACATGAGATGACCGGAGACTGCGGACACAGTACATGAGATGACCGGAGACTGCGGACACAGACAGGGGATGACCGGAGACTGCGGACACAGTACATGAGATGACCGGAGACTGCGGACACAGTACATGAGATGACCGGAGACTGCGGACACAGTACATGAGATGACCGGAGACTGCGGACACAGTACATGAGATGACCGGAGACTGCGGACACAGTACATGAGATGACCGGAGACTGCGGACACAGTACATGGGATGACCGGAGACTGCGGACACAGGACAGGGGATGACCGGAGACTGCGGACACAGGACAGGGGATGACCGGAGACTGCGGACACAGGACAGGGGATGACCGGAGACTGCGGACACAGGACAGGGGATGAACCGGAGACTGCGGACACAGGACAGGGGATGACCGGAGACTGCGGACACAGGACAGGGGATGACCGGAGACTGCGGACACAGTACAGGGGATGACCGGAGACTGCGGACACAGTACAGGGGATGACCGGAGACTGCGGACACAGTACAGGAGATGACCGGAGACTGCGGACACAGTACAGGAGATGACCGGAGACTGCGGACACAGTACAGGAGATGACCGGAGACTGCGGACACAGTACAGGAGATGACCGGAGACTGCGGACACAGTACAGGAGATGACCGGAGACTGAGGACACAGTACATGAGATGACCGGAGACTGCGGACACAGTACAGGAGATGTATGCAGGAGGTGTGTATGTTACGTTAACAACACCCCGAAATCGGTCCGTAATACGTGTTGCGATGTGCAGAATCTGATCGCATAGGTGTGAATACCCATGCAATCCGATTCTAGTGTGGACCCAAAAAAGGGTCCTGCACATTTTTTGGTGCGGTGCGATTGGAGCCATACAAGATGTATGGCTCCAATCGCACCGCACACAAATCGCATGTGATCTGCACAGGAATTTGGTGCGATTCCTGTGCAAATCACATGCGATATACCGCACTGCATTAGTGTGAACCTAGCCAAAAATGCACTGGAATGTACATTGTCATTTAAGTTGAAGATAAATAGAGGGAAAAAATTAACTGGAAAGCATCAAAACGCGCATACAGAAACGCATCCAGACTGCGTTTCTATGGTGTGGCCCTGAAGGAAACTTAATTTCTGACAGGATCAACAATTTTTATGTGATTGCAGAAAGTGCACTTAGCCTGTACAAAGGAAAACAAATGCTACCACTTCTAAGGACTGCTAAACTGCTATATAATTATTTTTCTTGGGTTTAGATATAGTTGAAGTACGTATGTGCCTCACACGTGTGTATAGGGAGGGAGGTTTATATTTGAATGTTTTTTTTTTTTTTTTTTCTTTTGTATTTTATTAGTGCTGCAAGAATCTTACATGCCCCCATGTGACAGTATAAAGATGGAGACCGTTGTTCTTTATGGAAACATCATGGGTCCCTTATCCCAGCCCATGCAAATCAGATACTCAGAGTTCCAAAATTCAGCTTACCCGGCTGCTGCCTGGATTCTAATGCTCTGAACCTAGAAGTGCTCATAACTGCAGACTTCCAGGTTCAGTTGCTCACCATCATGAGATGTCTTCACAGAGGAGCTGGGCGAGTGCTGGGGTTGGTAAGCAGTAGATGGCTTTATAGTCACCCATACAATGTTTGCCAAACAATGTCACCCAAGTAGTCTTGTTGGTGAGAAAGCTCTGGTTCTTGGTTCAATGATAATTGTTGGCGTAATAAATGATATTTCATGCATTGATAATGCCCTGTCCATGACCACCTTGCTCCTAGAAGTCAGCAATCATCATGTACAGCGGGTAAAATATAATTGAAGGAAGGATGAATAGAAAAATGGACCAATACATTCTTGATTAACAATCTGCTGCCATCTATTAGGATGATGAAGATGAAACAAGGGTGGACATTTCAGCAAGACAATGATCCCAAACACAAAGCCAAGTAAACTCTCAATTGGTTTCAAAGAAAGAAAATAAAGCTGGTAGAATTGCCCAGCCAATCACCTGACTTGAATCCAATAGAAAATCTATTGAAAGAACTAAAGATCAGAGTTCATAGAAGAGGCCCACGGAACCTTCAAGATGTGAAGACTGTGTGGAAGAACGGGCCAAAACTACATAGTTATCCTGGCTGAAAAAAAGACAAAAGTCCATCCAGTTCAACCATAAAAAAAAAAAAATTATAATCCTACACCCACAGTTGATCCAGAGGTAGGAAAAATCTCCAGCAAAGCATGACCCAATTTGCTCCTGCAGGAGAAAAATTCCTTCTGAATCCCCCAAGAGACAATCGGATATTCCCTGGATCAACTTTACCTATAAATGTTATATCTAGTTATATTCTGTGTATCCAAGAAAGAATCAGCCAGAACCAACTCTTGAGGGAGTCTATTCCACATTTTCACAGCTTTTACTGTGAAGAAACCTTTCCGTATTTGGAGATTACATTTCTTTTCCTCCAGACATAAAGCGTGCCCCCTTGTCCTTTGTGATGACCTCAGGGTGAATAGCTCTACACCAAGTTTACTGCATGAACCACTATGTATTTATACATGTTGATCATATCCCCCCTTAATCTCCTCTTCTCAAGAGAGAATAAATTCAGTTCCTCTAATCTTTCCTCATAGCTGAGCTCCTCCATGCCTCGTATCAGTTTGATTGCCCTTTCTCTGTACTTTCTCTAGTTCCCCAATGTTCTTTTTGTGAATTGGTGCCCAAAACTGAACTGCATATTCCAGATGAGGTATTACTAATGATTTGTACTGGGGGAAATGATATCTCTCTCTCTGGAGTCTATACCTCTTTTAATACAAGAGAGGATTTTGCTCGCTTTAGAAACCGCAGCTTGGCATTGCATGCCATTATTAAGCTTGTGATCTACCAGAACCCCCAGATCCTTCTCCACCATTGATTCCCCCAGTTGTACCCCCCTAGTATGATGCAGGCATATTCTTAGCCCCCAAGTGCATAACCTTACCATACCTGAGTAATGCATGCAACTAGTTTCTCCATACAGGAGGCATCTTGAAGCTGTCATTACCAACAAAGGATTTTGTATGAAGTATTACATTTCTGTTCGCGTGTTCAATACTTTTTCACCTGTGTCCATCCATTTTATTACACATAACTTAATTTCTGAACATATTTTTTTTTTGTTTCTTTGTATGTATGGATTGCATGGGTTGTGTTATTGACGTGGGGAAATTGTCATGTCAATAGCACCTTTTTAGAAATATATTTACTGAGAAAAATGGTGACGTGTTCAATACTTATTTTACCTGCTGTATGCTGCCATCTCTAAAAGCGCCCATGGTAGTGTGATGTGAGAAAGAAACCTGCCATTGTATGCACAGTCTGAAGGTAGTGTCAATGGGTGAGAGTGCCACATGTTAGTGCCAGTGCAGTAGGATTTAGTAATTCTTGATAAAACATGTTTCGGGGGTAAGAACTCCCCCTTCATCGGGGATAAGAAGCAAGATGATAACAAGTTATATAAAGTCATATAAATCAGAATATGTATACTATAAAGTACGTTCATATGTAATAAAAAAGTACACAACAATAAACACTATATATATTTTTTATTGTTGACCTTCCCACTTGGGTCCACAGCTTCTACACATCTTCTGCAATCGTATGCAGAGTGGGACTGACTGCATAATTTACTGACCTGTACAGTGTGCTTGAATCTATCATACAGAACATATACTGTGGAATTCCACTTTAATTGAACCCCCTAAAAGCAGAATTTCTCTCTGTCCCCTTGTAAGCAGCTCTTTGCAGTGTTTAGAGGACCATTGTATCTGTATGGTCATAGCTTTGTACCAGCCTGTTGAGTCCATTAGTTCAGATGGTTCTGTATTCTAAGTGTCATCTCTAGTTAATTGTTTCTTCTCTTCCACAGACCGGTCGTGTCGCAAAACAGCGATTCTTGTGAGGTGCCTTTGCCAAATCTACGACCACGACACCAGGAGCTGATCCCTACGCCGTTTGGTCCAGTAAGTACCTATCAGAGGCTTGATACCACATGCTGTGGAACTGCAAGAGAAGAAGGGGAGCTGCAGTCAGTGGAAACCAAATGTTTCATTTTCTAACCTGCACAAAGCTATTGATTGCTGGAAGATGATTGGTTGCCCTGACACAGCCACTTCCTCTCTTCATTTTTGAATATCCGTGCATTATAAAGAACAAGATGAAATATCATTTCTAGCTGATTCACACATGTGCGGTGCAGATTGAAGTTCAGGTTTCACAGCTAATTGATACAGTAGTTGGTCAGGTTTACATCAGGTTCAGAACAGGTTTAGATCAGGTTCAGGTCAGGATTTTATCCTGTTGACAACTGATGACATGTGCGGTTTAGAAACGGTTCCCATAGAAGTCAATAGTCTATAATCTGTACCTGAACTGCTCAGAAGCCATACAGGACTTTGTCTTTGTTTTAAGTAGGGGTGTGTTTTGGAGATGTTATGGAGGTGAAGGTGGAAAGGCCAGAGTCCAGAGTTACACCTAGCACCCTTGTATGAGGAGAGGGACTGATTGTTGTGCTATTAATCTCAAAGGAAGAGACTGAGGTGGTGGTATGGGGAGAAAGATAGACATTATGGAGCTTAGTTTTTAAAGATTGCGTTTCATAGAGTGGTATAACTTCTATACTGATATGTCCGTTAGTAAATTAGTAATGTGTAAGGAAACAAAAGGGGTGATTGGAAGGGTAAGGGCTCGTTCACACTTGGCTGTTTTACCAACGCTTGCCAAACGCCCCTATAGCGTTTGGCAAGCGTTGGTCCGGCGTTTGAGGAGCATTTTTTAACACTCGGCAAACGCTCCGCAAACGCCGCATGCGCGGTTTAGTGGCGGTTGCTAGGCCTTTGCAGAGCGTTAAAAACTCCCCACAAACGCCTATAATGCAGTTTGAATGGTGTTACCGCTCTGCAAACGCCCCGCAACCGCGTCGCAACCGCACCACAAACGCCGGCCGGGAGTTTGCGGAGCGGCACCATAGACTAGAATAGGAGGCTTCAATGCCTCCTGACTCGACCAGAGGCGTCCGTTTTGCCGCGGCGCAACGCGATGCAAACGCTCCCGTTAGAGCAGCACCATGTGCTCAATTGGCAGAGGTGTTTGGGAAGCGGTAAAAACGCTTCCCAAACGCCTCTCTGCTGCCTGCACACAACGCTAGTGTGAATGTAGCCTAAGAGAGAGGTTTAGATGTTGTTCGCATTAAAGCAGAACTCTGGGCAAAAAATTTATTTTCCCATGCAGTGGGGCTGTGCCTGCACTGCATGAGTTAACTGCTTGTTTTGTCTAGGGGTGAACACAGAACTTATACTCCCCTGATCCTTCGATCTTCCAGAAAATGGTGCTCCTCCCACGTCCAGCAGTGGATTGTTCCTGCTGTCCTCCTGTCTAGAGCTGGTCTATGGGTGTGATTATGTCAGGAACAGTCCACGACACAAGACTTCTAGACTGCAGGGGCAGGAGCGTCAGGGACTGGAAGGATCTGCAAATTAGGTGAGTATATCTCAGCTCTCCTCTTCCCTAGGCAAAAACGAGAAGTTAACCCATGCAGTGCGGGCACAGCCCTACTGCATGGGGAGAGAAAAAAAAAGTTCTTCTTTAAAATGGTATTAACTAACCAAGGACAGAAAATAGAGGGGGTCTGAGGATAAAGCCTTGGTAGACCCTCCGGAACGAGCATTAGCAGAGGAGGAGGTAGAGTTGTAGGTGACACTGAAGGAACACTTGGGCTAGGTTCACATATGTTCAGGTGGTGCGGCTGCGGATCCGCATGAAAATCCGTGCAGCCGCACCACCCGCACAGAGGAATGTGGACCCGCATGCGGGTGCCATTAGTTCTAATGGCATGCCACCCACACTAGAAAACGCAACCATACTGGGAACCAAGGTTCCCGTGCAGGCTGTGTTTTCAGAAGTGCAGGGACTTTTTCCCTGCATGTCACGGGGCACGGGAGCCCATTCAAATGCCCGCACGGATGCATATAATGTGAACCAGGGCTAAGAGCTGATTCACGCATGTGCGTTGTGGATTGAAGCTCAGGTTTCACAGCTATTTGATACAGTAACTGTTCACAGGTTCATGTCAGGTTTACGTCAGGTTCAGGACAGGATTAGCTCAGGATCTTATCTTGTTCACACATTTGCGGTTTAGGACCGGTTTCCATAGAAGTCTATAGTCTGTAATCCGCACCTGAACGGGACCGCACTGCTCAGAAATCGGAATTACTCTTTTTAAAACCGCACTGAATCTGCACCGTCAGTGCACCGGACATATGGCACCATAGGAAGCAATGTTTTTTCACATGTCATGCAGATTGGATGCAGTGCAAACCACATCCAATCCACATATATGTGAACGGGCACTTAGACAGGAGGAGAACCAGGAACGAGCTGAGGCATGGAGGACAAGGGAGTGGAGTTTTTTTGAAGCAGGTGATCAACTTTATCAAAGCAGAAATGTCTAATAGTATGAGTACAAAGTAGTGGCCTTTGGTATTCTATATTATTGGGCTAATAGCCATGGGCAGAGAGCAACCTATGAGCAGGGGTTGGATGGGGAAGAGGTTGTGGGTGTAAAGGGGGGGGGGGGGGGGGGTGATTGACAAAAAATCCTATACTGTATTAAAACCCCCTTCAGGGAGAACTACAAGGTCCAGTTCTATGACATCTAGGTGGCTTTCAGGCAGCCTGGGCCATGCAGAGCAAACAGAAACTTCTACCTTGGTAACAGCCCTAATTCATGGTGTATAAACTGGAATGATTAAACAATTCAATGCAAAGGTGTATAATGTCACAAAAAAACTGTGAAGCTGCAATTGGAGTCCAGAAATCAGAACTGCAGATCTGAATGATTTTTCCAGGTCATTGACTCAGAGACAATTGAAGCCAATGGATCAGCATGACAGCTTTTTCAGAAGAAGAGGTCAGCAGTACCCACCTGTTTACTTCTCACTGTAACATCAAAATGTGAACAAACACTTTCTAGAGTGAGAATTGCTTCATTCTGGGATGTTGTAAACGTTGTACACACTGGTCACTGGTTATGCTTTTGAGAAAAAAGGAAGGAAAGGGCCACAGCATACACCCTGCCATGCTGTCATCTAATACTGAGGGGAAGGTTGCATTGCATTGTGGATGAAGATCTGTTTGTCTTTTGCTACTTTAAAGCTAGCCATGGATGGGAAGTAGTCTCCCATGAACGATGGGTGGGGGGCACATCTGCCAAACTCTTCGTAGCACTAGAACCCACTGCTGATTCTAGTTCAGCTAATTGGACCTACAGTGACAAGCAGCTAAAGTGTACCTAAAGCCAAAACCAAAATGTGTCTTCTGGTATCAAATAAAGCGGAGAGGGATTTGAACCTCCATCATGTTTCTTTATTGCGGTCTCTGTCCCTGCTGGGTTGTTTCACCTGCAGAAGAAATAAAACAACAGTGCACTGGCCTAGCACATTATCCCTGATAACAGTTTATTAAAACATGGATAAAATAATATACTCACAAACAAGTAATGACAGATTGCATATAGATAGACAGTCACAAGATGCATTTATCCACAATGAGCCAAAAACTCTGACGCCAATGATGTGCGATCTAGGTTTACCTTTGAACTGCGTCAGACGGACGTGGCCCCTAGATGGCATTTCATTGATGTCAGGGTCTTTGGCTCGTTGTGGATTAATGCATCTTGTGACTATCTATAAGCGATCTGTCACCGCTTGTTTGTGAGTATAATATTTTATAAACGTTTTAATAAACAGTTATCTGGGATAATGCATTAGACCAGTGCGCTCTTGTTTTATTCCTTCTGCAGTTGCATCTGGACTCCCCCTGTCTTATATGAGAGCTGCAAGGCTTGGCCCACCCGTTGGAGTTTCACACACATTTGAGTTCCACTGAATATTTCTGTTTCTAGCCTTCCACACCCATGTGCAGGAGCTTTTGACATTATTTCACTGATCACCCTCTGGATTTGTCCTGCTGACCATTGTTACTAGAACATAAAGTGACGGGAATTATAACATTTTGAGCTGTAACTAGAACAGGAGGCAATGGGGAAATTTTCTCTTCAGGTGACAACTGTCTGAGGGGATTTCATGTAAGGTAGCACTAAAGCTTTAGGCTGGCCATGCATTATACAATTGTCTTAATCTCCAAATACGGAAAGGTTTCTTCACAGTGAGAGCTGTAGAAATGTGGAATAGACTCCCTCAAGAGTTGGTTCTGGCCAGCTCAGTGGATTTCTTTAAAAAAGGTCTGGATTCTTTCTTTGATACACAGAATATAACTGGATACTAACACTTATAGGTAAAGTTGATCCAGGGAATATCTGATTGCCTCTCGGGGGATCAGGAAGGAATTTTTTTCCCTGCAGGAGCAAATTGGATCATGCTTTGCTGGGTTTTTTGCCTTCCTCTGGATCAACTGTGGGTGTAGGATTATAACTTTTTTTTTTTTTTTTTTTTTAAGGGGTTGAACTGGATGGACTTTTTGTCTTTTTTTTTTTTTTTTTTTTTCTAACCAGACTAACTATGTAACTATATCTTATTCAATTTCCTTTAGATTCACCTTCAACTATGTAGTGCCAAGGGCCTGCCTGATTGCATACAAATTGAAAGTGTTTAAGTTTGACTTCATATTATATGGTTTTGGTAAATCTAAAGGAAAATTGTGTAATGTATGGCCAGCCTTAAGCTAGCCTAAAGTCTGTTGCAGGGGTGTTCAACGTTTTGAAGAGCAAGGGCCATTGATTTGGTCATAATGAAATGGTTCAGAATTTTGATTTTATTTTGAATAGCATAATGAACATTTTCCTCCTGCATCCTCTGAATGGTGGTGGGAATAAGGAGGAGAAGCCGGCTTTCAGTGGTTTCAGGAGGAAAATGGAGAGGATTGGTTCCTGTACAGCAGGTAAAATAAGTATTGAACACATCACCATTTTTCTGAGTAAACATACATGTAGTTCCAGGCGCCGGGC